TGGTTAGCAATAAACCGCCCACTCCCTCTTCGAGCCCTCGCTCTCGTCCGCCCCACGTAGTACATTCCGTACTTGCCGTATTTACGGGTTATTAGGACGCCTCTAACAGCGACATTCCTTCCGAACTGTTCCGGATTTGTTTAGGTGTTTTTATAAAAAAAAAACTCCCCTCCCCCCTTTGCGGACGCGGCAGTTCATTTCTGAGATTCTTGCGCATGAATCCCCCCTTCCCCTCACCCCCCTTCCCCTCACCCCCGTTCCCCTCACCCCCCTTCCCCTCACCCCCCTTCCCCTCACCCCCCTTCCCCTCACCCCCCCCCACACACACACTCGGGTCGTCCTCAGTCCCCCCGGGGTGACGTGTGTGTTCGTGGCAGCTACCTGCATCCGGGCACCGGACTGGGGGCCTTCATGGTGGCCCCCCTGGAGCGGAGGGGGGGGCCGGCGGCGGCGGAGGGGGCAGCGCAGGTGGGGGTGTGCGCGGGAAGGGGAGGGAAAGGGGACGTGCGTGTGTGTGTGTGTGTGTTTTGGGGGTGTATGTGCGTCCGTGTGTGTGTTTTGTGTGTGGTTTGTGGAAGGCTTATTATTGTGGTTCCGTTAAGTGCTGTACACTGGCGGCTATTTAACTCAACCACATCACCGGCACCCCGCCAGCATGAATCATCATTATGCGTATGTGGGTGCGGGGGGCTACGTGCCAAACCTCAGCGTGTGTGTGTCCATGTGTACGGCACAGTGTACGGCGGTGGAGGTCGTATACATTGCTTGTCCATGCTGCTGCCCCCGCTACAGGTCGGAGTGCGGTACAGTTCAACTAATGCAACTGCCGGCGCCATTTTCATCCCCCGACGGGGTGACCTGGACAAGTTGTGGCTGGTAGGTACGACGCCTGCCGTACGACGAGTGCCGTACAGAACGCGTCGTTGTAAGTGCCATTATCGTCCTCCTTCCTGCAGGCTGGCCGCCTGTATGGCTTGACACTGGGTCTACAGTTGTCACCACAACTACCCGTACGGCAGGCTATATCAGCTTTGCCGAGTTGCTTGCCGGAGCTGCGGCCGCCGCTGGGGGCGCCGCCGCCAGTAGCGACAGATCCTACAAATCTAAGCAGTAACGGCGACAGTGATGGCGGCAGCAGCAGCCGCAGCGGCGGCAGCTGCGGCGGCGGTAGTTCCTCTTTAGCAGGGATGAAGTCGTGGTTTCGGAGTCATGCGTCCGTACTGTTGTCGTATTCACCGCCGCCTCGTCCAGGAGCGGCAGGTGAGGTGGGGGTTGAGGTGGACGTGTATTTTGTGTGTTCGTGTTTGTTTTAGACGTTTTTGGGGTTTCAAGTGATGGTTGCATCAAACGACCACCACAACCACCACAACACCATGATAACTGTTTCGTGCTGGTTAGTGGTTACTGGTAACGGCACAACGGTAATAAGCATACCCAACCAACTGCGTGGCCTTCCTGCACAACATACACACACGCCTCCAAAGCCCTCTCCCCCCCCTTTCCCCTAGGTTCCCCCTTCACCGCCTCCGTGGAAATGGCGGAGGGGGGTCCACTCACATTTTCATTCTTCCAACATGTAGCCGTTACAAGGTGAGTGAGAGCGTGTGTATGTCTGCATGTGTGTGTATGTGTGCGCGTGTGTGTTTTAATGATGTGAACTGGGATTATGAGCGACATGTGCGGTGAGGGCGCGGCACTCATGGCCGGTGGTTTAGGGCTCAGTCTGTTCCAGTGAGTCGGTGACTCCCCCCGCCAAATGTGCGAAGAGAGAGAGGGGGAGAGAGAAAGGAAGGGAGGAAAAGAGAGAGAGAGGGGGAGAGAGAAAGGAAGGGAGGAAAAGAGAGAGAGAGGGGGAGAGAGAAAGGAAGGGAGGAAAAGAGAGAGAGAGAGAGAGAGAGAGAGGGTGGATGGGTATAAGGAAGAGAGAAAAGAGTGTGTGGATAAGGGCGTGGCGGTCGGAGTCGGGGGGGGAATGGAGGGTCAGGAGTAACACCCTCCTCCCCCCCTTTGTTTTGCCAAACATACACGTCAACCCCCCACTCATACACACACACACACACACACCCCTTCACCCCACACGCCCTTGGGTGCTAACCGCGCTAACCGCAGGCAGGTGGTTAACCCGTTTGAGGAGGATGAGGTGGTTGGCATCACCAACTACCTTGACATTGGCCTCCAACTGACAACCGCCGCTGGGCCAACAGCAACCACCACCACCACCTCAACCTTGGACAGCTCGCATCCCGCCGGGACGCAACGACTTATTCAACCACCACCATCTGCCTCATCCACCCCTACCTCCACCACGGCCACGACCACCGCCACTACCACCATTTCAGGCAGCAGCAATAACCCCACGGCTGCTGCTACTGCTACTGCTACACCTGATGCTGCTACTCCTGCCTCTGCCCCTTCCATTAACCTAGCGGTTTCTTGGCAGGTATGTCTGTATGTCTATATTTGCGTATGATGTATGTATGTATGTATGTATGTATGTATGATGTGACATTTTCCGCGCATGATGGTGGGTTCAAGTGCGCATCGGGGGCACCGGGGTTTGCCATCGGCAGCATCACACGAGGGAAATAGGTACGTGACACCTTGGCCATGTTCGTTAGTTCAGTTAGGCCAGGGGTTCTTTTTACAGTTGTTCAGTTGGGGACATAATTGGGTCGTTTCCTGACCTGTACTTCACCGTCGTACCTTGCCACCCTAAGCACTTGCCACACGGTACCCGGTGGACCGTATTGCTACATCTTCATCATGGCGCCGACGACCTTGCTTCACTTGGGGAAATAAAGCTGATTCCCCCCCTCCCCACCCTCTCACCCCCCTACCCAAACCCCCTAACCCCCCATCCCGCTCGTCTGTGTTTCGTCTTCCCCCCCCCCCTTCCCCCGATGTGCGTCAACTCTCCCTTCTCAGCACTGTCACCCTCTCACATCCCGCAGCTGGGGTCTCATCACGTACAAACACATACACACGTATACAAATACACACATACACGTGCGCATTAAAACACACCACTTCAATAACCCCTCCGTCCACTCTGGCCCCACACGCTCCCCCCTTTCCCTCCTCCCCCGACAACGATCCCTTCACAGGTCGGTCGCGACGGGTTAGCGACTTCCTTTTTTAAAATTACTTACACACTTCTGTCGTATCACTCTGTCGTATCACTCTGTCGTATCACTCTGTCGTATCACTTTGGCGAATCCTTGACAGGCATCTATCCTTCACTCGTTCGCGGTTTGTTTGTCTTCCCCCCTCCCCCCTCCCCCCTCCCCCTTCCCCCCGACACACATACACACACACACACACACACCTACCCACGTTTTCTTCCCATTTTCCCACCTCCTTCCAGATCAACAAGAACTGGCTCCTCAAGGGGCGTGTGGGCAGTCAGTGCGCCTCTGCGGCCGTGGGAGCGCGCGTGTGGCATGCGGTCAGCGCCTACCTCACGGCGTGTGTGGAGGTGGACTTTGCCAGGCCCACCAGTCCTAGGTAGGTAGTGGTGGTGGTGGTGATGTGTTAGTGGTGATGTGCATGTGGTGGTGTGTTAGTGGTGATGTGCATGTGGGATAAGGCGGGAGAACACTAAGTCATCTTTGTGCTGCTGCTACTGCTGCTGCTACTGCTGCTACTGCTACTGCTACTGCTGCTGCTGCTTTAAGGTCTCTCAATTTACTGTTTCACAACATTTTGTTTGTCCAAATGTGTGCGCGTGTTTGCATGTGTTTGTTCCCGGCAGTAGCAGTAGCTGTAGCAGCAGCTGTAGCAGTCCTCGCTGTCCTGGAGTTCAACCAGCGGCCACTCAGTTGGGGCCCTACATATATCTGTATGTATGTATGTATGTGCTGATGCGTGTGTACGATCGAGGCGGGAGCGGTGACTGCATCTGTATTTATCTCTCGCTCCAAGCTTATAAGCGTACGACTGTACAACTGATGGCAGGTACGGCGTGGAGCTGTGCGTGGAGAATTTTGGCCCTCTGCAGTACGAGCGCGGCGCAGATGACGTGGCGGTGGGTCGGGCGCTGCTCCAGCGGCACGAGGCCTCCCCCCAGGACCTGGACAACTTCGCGGGGAGGGGGGTGCTGGTGAGCGCGTGGCGCCTGTGTGTGTATGTGTGTGTGTGCGGAACACGTACTGAAGCGTGTATGTTCGTACGATGTGTTCCTGTCTTTTAGGGGATGGTTGATATTACTGGATGCGGGGATCTGGGGGGGTCTGGCTCAAGGGGGTGAACCATGACGAGTTGCCTGGTACGGAGCCTGGTACGGGATTTTGATGGGTTTGCCGTACAAGGGAGTCAAAAAGTGGTGGGAGTTAGGGGAGAGGTCAAATAGGCCGCGTGTATTTATGCATGGAGAACGGTGGTGCACGTGTACGGTGTGCAGCTCGTGAGGTGCGAAAAAAAGTTACGTACGGCATGTGTCGTGCAGGTACGGCGCAACGCCCAGGATCACGGAGGTCCAAGCGACCAGACTCGCGCCCAGAAGCGGGAAGTGGAGGAGGCGGCGCGGCGGCGGGTGGCTGAGCTGATGTGAACAACATTTTTGATGTAAACAACGTTTTTGATGTGAGCGGAACCGGGGTGGCAGTCACGGGATGGCGCACATGCCTAGCGGCTACAGTGCTCCCTGCCCGGTGCGGGGTCGGTGCGGGGGGGGGCGCCATGGAGGACTGAATGGGTTGTTGCGGCGCCAGGAGCGCACCTGCGGCGGCCGCAGTAGCAGCAGTAGTGGCCAGTAGTGGCAGTAGTGGCAGTAATGGCAAGTAGTGGCAAGTAGTGGCAGTAGTGGCAGCAGCAGCGGGACTTCCTCTTTCTCTCCCCCCACCCTTTCCAGGGCTTTGTTGAGCACTCTACTGCTAAATCACGTGAGGGGGTATGTGAGGGCGGCGGGGGGATGTGTCCTTGGTAGCACTTGAAGTACGAGGTGAGGTATGAGGTGAGGTCGTCAAGGACATGTACATTGTGGACACATACATTATGTTTCTGTCGCCTGAGAGATATCACCAATCGTACATAGGTGATAACTGCAACTAACTGTAATTAACTGCCAACGGCCGGAGTCTGGCATGCCCATGTGTGATTTACCTGTTTATGTGTTTGTTAAGGTTTGAAAGGGGGAGTGTGTGTGTGGATGGGGGGGAGAAGCTGACTAATCACTGTCGTGCATCATTGATGATTCGGCTGCATTGAATGGGCGGCGCTGACGGCGCCGCCACTGCCACCGCCACCGCCGTCAAGTCCGCCAGAGTCCCCAGGCAGCTTGACTTGCGCGCTGTCGTCGACGTTGGCGGAGACGCACGTTGGCGATTGCTGACGGCGGCAGTGGCGGCCACCCGGAATCCGCCGTTGATGCCATTTTGAGCGGAAGCGCACGGGCGCGGGCTTGGGTGCTGATGTGGTTTGAAGTAGAGAGGGGAGGAGGAGGACGGGGAGGAAGGGGTAGCACAGCGTTCGTGTGGGAGGGGAAGATGTTTGTACGACATTAGCGGTTAGATCGGTAGTTAAGACCGGTATATTTCTGGTAGTGGTAGAGGTCAGCTGGTGATGCTGATGGCGGTGGTGGTGGTCCGCCGCGCGATGGTGATGATCAGCCTGTCGTCTGCCCTAAGCAATCCTGTGTACGGCGCAAGCACGAAGTAAATGAAATCTTGTCCGAAAGACACAATCGACGTCGTACAGCAGTCCTTTTAAAAATTCAGGCTGCACATGTACGACATCTGCAAGGCGATTGCCTGCCGGGGAACATGTTGTTACATGCCAGGTATGTGGGGAGGTGGCATCTGCACGCTTGCATTGAAATCTGTCCATGCGTGCCTTAACCTTGTATGCTTGCTGTTTGTGCATAGTGTACGGCGGTAAGGAGTACCGCCATGCTGTACCATCATGAAAGGTGCGTGAGGATCAAATATCTTTGCCTGAGGGCCTTATCAAGGGATAACAGCCAGGGTCAAAAAACGCACATTTAATAATTCTTTTTTTAGAACATTTCAGGTGAACTAATGCGAATTCTTCTTTCTGATTGCCGTAGTAACATTATCACCAAATCCGGTGTTATATTAGCTGCAAGGATGCATAAATGGAGGGTAAAAAAAGACCCTTCAACTACCAGCAGTTTGCCATCATGGCAAGAGGTTGGCCTCAAGATAAGTCTCAGTAGCTCTCAGTGATAGCAATAATGAAGGCTGCCTGCTCTCATGGTAGTGCTTGGTGGTCCGTCCAGCAGCCATTAAAAGCTGTTTCAATAAGCTGTTTGACCAAAATATTAAATTTGTACTTTTTTACCAGCACCAACACCAGCAGCTATACCAGCAGCAGCAGCAGCAGCAGCAGCAGCAGTCACCTCGAACACCACTTATGCATGTGGGTCATCGTTATGGACCCGTCGGGTCACCAGCAGCAGCAGGGCTTGCCACACTCGCTGGTAAGGCCCCGGTGGTGGGGAAGGCCCTGGGTTCACCACCCTATAGGTGTTCTCGCACGTCCAACGTGCATCCAGCCTTGTCGCAAAATCCCTCTCAGGGTTTTCCCACAGGCAGCTTGAGAGTAGCGTAATGCGCCACCAATCATCCCCGCGCAAATCAGCCGGGGGCCCTACACCCAAGCTGTTAAGAAAGGTCCAACATTTAAGTGTTGCCGCCAAAAATGCCGTTTGGCCTCTTCATGTTCCTTGCTTACAGGGTGTTATGGGCTTGGGTCTTGCCGAAAACCACCCAACCCCCATGCAGTTAGCAAATTTCAATGTGCAGTACCTTTTCGTATAAGTGCTGACAAGCAGCGTGATGAGTGCTATCGCACACATATAGGCTTGGTAGATGGGGTGGTAGATGGGTTCAAACAAAATGCAGTCACCCTAGTCCGAAATGTTGTGACCCAAGTACCGTAGCCCATGAAAACTAAGGAATTTCAAAGTCCACCGCCAATAATTAAAAACGTAGGTACCAGAGCGAAGATGCCTTAAGGGCAATGGCCTTGCGTGCTTGTCCAGTAATCGCGGAAGGGGTAGGCATGAGCCCTCAGTAGGCAATGTGCTGCGCCTTGTTGGCATAGCCGTCGCATAGCCCAAGCTACAAAACGGGCGAGCCTTGGGCGGGCCATTGGCTATGCACGGCTTTCATTGGCTGTTCACGGCGTTCATTGGCTGACGCGCCGGAAGCCACGAGCCAACGGAGGGTTGTATAAAGTTCAATACGGAACCTTGGGCATTTAAAGATTTAGCGGAAGCTTCAAAGGCGGTTCGGGTCAGAAAGCTTTGTAACGACAGCCGGCAACGACAGCCCGCAAGTGGTGACAGGGAGAGGCGCTATGGAGGTATCACAACGTTATCACCTTGGCGCGCTGCTGTCGACAGCTTGACATGTCCTTAACAAATTCGGAAAGAAATCATCCTATTGCGTGGTGTAACTCTGAGCCCAGAAAGCTAAAGCATTGAGAGTGACAGGGAGTGGAAGAGTAACAACATTATCCTATTCAAGCTTAGATTTGTTATGAATGCAGTCTCGTGCACGAACGCTGTTGACTAACGGTTGTAGGTAGTTAACCTAGGAGCATGTAAAGCAGGATTGTTGTTATTATGATAATAAGGAAAATCTCATTTCATTTATCTAATATTTTCCAGACGGTATCTTTGCCCGAGTCAATGATTAGCTAATCGGTGTCATGCGGACCAAAAGTGCAATGGCATTGGCTTTGCGATCTGCGGTAAATTAACCCCAAATACAAATTTTATACATGATGTCGAATTGCGTATGCAGTTTGTATGGTAGATGACTGGTATAATTTACAGTAATCTACAGTTCCAGCTTATGCGAATGCGGCTTCACTGGATGCTGTTATAGCCCGTGCCATGCGATTATCAAATACTTAATTTGTGTTAATGTATAGGAATTCTTTGTAGGAAACGCTGAGCAAGGCCTTTCCAAGCTTTGCCTGCTGCTTGTTAAATGCGAAATTAGTACACCACAGCCGCTGTGCCCATTACAGGGGCGCTGTCTTCGCATACGTAGCCTCTATATTGACTGGGAAACTATTCCTTGAGCGATGAGGAGAATCGTTGAAGCTTGACATTATCGCTTAATTGCTACCGCGCGTCCAACACTCAGTGGCGTTAACTTGTTAGCAACGAGTCCACACGTTTTCAATTTTGAGCGAGCAAGGTGCAGCTCATAGGGAGGAGCTCATGGCTAGTTCTTCGGCGATTACTGGACAAGTACGTCTCATTCATGACCCTTTAATTACTTGCGCTTGCGCGTGATCCACAAGCTGACCTGTGAGACTCAACATTACATGAAACTTTTACCTTTCTCCAGAATCACCTTCTGCCGACCGGCTTGCTGTTCCCGTAAAGTATCACTTTTACAAACCACCCAATTCCGCCATGCCGCCCGCTCGCTCACAGCCACGCCCAAATCGCCCAGGGCCTAGAGCCTTCCCAGGAAATATCTCGCACTGCTTCAGTCTAAACTGTTGCGCTACCTGAGTCGCACTACTGCCGCGCACCCACTTTTTTCCCCACTTCCCCTCCGTGCCTTCCAACACATATACACACACACACACATATATATACACACACACACACACGCACACACACTCTCACCACAGCAGGCCACTACGGAGGACGACTCCCCAAAATGTGGTTGTTCGACACAGCCGAAAAGCCGCATGCGCCGTGTCGATACGGCAGCCGTACTGGCTGCCGTACAAGGCACCGCCAGCTCCGCCAGTTCGGCCGATTCACATCTAGCCTTCCTCCAGCGCCTGTCAGAGCGACTTCAACGGTGAGGAGAGGGTATGGAGAAGCTGGGGGTGCTGAGGGTAGTGAATGGGAGACATGCCGTACACGCGTTTTTGAGCTTTTCATCCTTAAAAAATCCAAAGAATGATAAGTTCTGCGATCCCGCCGCTACTGCTCATCTCCATTACATGGGGAAAAACACCCCTTACACCAACTAACCAACCAACCAACTGAATCTAACCCACTGACTAACCGACAGGGTGGGCCTCAGCTTCCCTGGAGTGGAGGTTCGTTGGCAGGACCTCCAAGCGGAGGTGGAGGTGCCCAGCCATGGCCCCAGGGTAAGTAGTCAGTTGACGGTTGACAGTTAGCGACTGGCAGTTGGCAACCGACATCATCACCATCACCATCTCATCTTCAAGTCTTCAAGTCATGTCCCCCTCCCACTCATGTCCAATACCTTCCCCCCCAAGATCATAACGACCTCTTCCCCCCATTTGTCGCCTCTTACCTCCTGCCATACGGCAACCCCTTTCAAACCTTTCAAACCTTTTTAAAGCCTTGAAAACTTAAAAATTTGATAAAGCCTTGAAAACTTAAAAATCTTGATAAAACACACGCACGCACGCAGACCCACACCGTGCTCTCCGCGCTGCTAGCCGGCCTGGACAGCGCCCTGATCGCCCCAATGAAGTCCGTCATGGCGTACGGCAGCGGAAGCGGCGCACGTGTCGGCGCGGGGCCGAAATCACGTGTCGTACTGGACGCGGGGAGCGGCCGCCTGACACCGGGGCGGATGTGTCTGCTGCTGGGGCCCCCGGGCGCGGGTAAAACCACGTTATTACGGATATTAGCAGGACAGGCACTGCCGGCGGCAGGAAAGGAAGGGGCTGGCGGCGGCGGCGATGGTGGCGGCGGCGGCGGAGGACGGCGTACGACAGGGGGTCTACATGTTGGCGGGAAACTGCTGTACAACGGACTGATCCCGGGGTCTGATTTTACGGTGGAGAGATCCGCGTCGTACATTAGTCAGCATGATTTGCATATTGGCGAGATGACTGTGGAGGAAACGCTCATGTTCGCAGCTGAGTGCCTGGGCCCCGGACTGAATAAAGGTAAAAGAAGGGAGAGGAAAGGAAAGGTATCCCGAAAAGTCACTAAAACACATCTTTATACGAAAACTCACAATTCTACTAAAATCCTACTTCACCCATATGAGAACCCTATCAACCCGTGTCAACGTATGGGAACCCTAAACAAGGGAAATGCTGCTTATTACTTACAAAAATACGTGGACATACATACGTGTGCAGAGCTTCACGATTTGCTGCTGGATCGCGAAAGGGCCGCCGGCATTTCCCCCGATCCGGATCTGGATCTATTGTGGAGTACGGCATACGGACCTCACGGCCACACGCTCATGGTGGAGGTGCGTGTGTATATGTATGTATGTATGTGCAACTAACTATATCCCCCACAACCCCTCCATCCCCATTCTAACACACTTGAAAATAGTGCCAACTAACCAACCAACCAACCGACCAACCAATTCGACTTACTGTTTTCCTACAACGACTAAAAACTTCAATGTCCCTTCCCCGCCCTTCGCCTCCCGCCCGCGCATACATTCGTTGGGCAGTTGTTTGCACGTTTGTTAGGTATTGACCACGTAATGAGCACGGTGGTGGGCAATGAGATGTTGAAGGGTATCAGCGGAGGACAGAAACGGCGAGTGACGTGCGGTGAGTGCTGCCGTACTGCTACTGCTACTGCTATGCTACCTGTCATGCTACTGCTCATGCTGGCCGGGCTGTGAATGTTGCTACTGCCGTACTGCTGCCGGTGGCGATTCTTGTGCCGGTGCTGCTAATGTCGCAATCCTGTCAGCGTTGCTCTGATGTTGTTGGTGGCGGTGGCGGTGGTGGTGGTGGTGGTGGTGGTGACGGCGGCGGTGCTACTCCTGCTGCGCGTGTATACTCGCTAGCCCTTCCGAGGATCAGCACGAGGACGTGTTGCAGACGGCAAAACCCGCACACTTTCCCCCTCCTCGCGCCCGTGCACCCCTCAGCCCCCACGGGACACCCCTCAGCCCCCACCCCATAAATACGCTCACATACACACTCACATACATACACACACACTCACACACTCTTCCCCACCCCCTTCCTCTCCAGGCGAAATGGCGGTGGGATTCGCGCAAGTCATGATGCTGGTACGACAGAGAGGGGGATAAGGCGCGGGGGGGAGCTTGTGGGGCCTGGTGGACGGGACAGTCTAAATCCGCTCCACTACTTTGGGGGAACGTACCTCCCCTCCCGCGGTGTGAAGAAAATGGCGGGGGGGGGGTAGAGTTATAGTTTATGGGGGGATGGGGGGACGGTGGAAGGTATGGGAGTACGGATCTACGAAAAAGGACGAGGTACGACACAAATGAGGCACTGCGTCAGAAATAACATGAACGGAGTGTTAACTTCATATCGTTACATTCTAATGTGAATTTCAAACAACCATACGGGGGTGTGGTCCCGAATACGCGGGAGAGAAGGGGGGGAAAAGGCCGGGGGGGGAAAATGGGAAAAGAAGTGTTTCGGGCTTAGAAGAGACTTTGGGGGTTGGGGGGACCTTTTGGAGATATGCGTGTATATGAGTCCAATGATGTGTTTTTACGCCAAAGATGTGTCGTTTTTTGGTCGTACCTTTGCCGTACATTTCTTGAGTTGCCGTACGTTTTCAATCCCAGGACGAGGTCACGAACGGCTTGGACTCCAACTCTGCCTTCGCCATCATCAAGTCGCTTCGAAACATCTGCCAGTACGCACAGGTACGAATGTCGTACAAACCTACGGCAAATGTCAGTGAAAAATCCCACCTGAGTAAACCACACCATCATTATCGCAACCACCTCTATCATGTACCAGTGCCGTACAAGACACAGGTACGGCATGTTAAGTCATCGCTTGAGTGAGGAGGACACTGCCTCCCACTTCGCACATCATTCCTCCCTATGCCGTACATTCACCTCATTCTCTTCAGACAAACACAAACACACACACAAAAAAAACACAAGCACACTCGTTTCCCCTCTGTTATGAGCAACGCGCGTCTGTGGTTCGTCCACCCTTTCCTGTCACCCCCCTGTCACCCTTTCCTAACCCCCCTTGTGCGGCGACTATCCGCTGCTACTGCTGCAGGCCACAATGCTGGTGTCGTTGCTACAGCCCTCCCCCGAGGTGTACGACTGCTTTGATGACGTCATGTTGCTGAGCGGGGGTCGACTTGTGTTTTTGGGCCCCCGTGCGGAGGTGGCGCCGTTCTTTGCGCGGCTGGGACTGGCCCCACCACCCACGAAGACAGAGCCAGATTTCCTGCAGGTGCGAGGGTGTGTCTGTATGTATGTGTGTGTTGGGGGGTGTATGTATGTATGTATGTATGTATGCATGATAATTTTTTGTACGGTTACACTGAGTTCTCGAAACCACCACCACCTGCCGTACAATCGCACAACCGTATGTATCGGTTATATCCCTCTCGCACAACAGGAAGTAACCGCCACTCCGGAATATCAGCTCAAGTACAGAGTCCAGGGAGGGCGGGCTGAGTCATGTGGCCAAAAGTGGCTGTCACCCAGGAGGCTACGACAGGTGAGTGTACGACAGTGTGTACGACAATGGGGGGGTGACAGACAGGCGTACATATGAACACGTCGGGGCACTGGGGGGGGAAAGGGATTAAGAGGGGGGCACTGGGTTTGGAAGCTGTAGTGAAGGTCAAGTACAGTCCAGGAGGGGTGATAGGACCTGAGCTAGACACGCGATAGAGCGAAACACACACACACACACATATATATATATATATATATATATACGTGCGTGGGGCGGGTGGGGGGGGGCCGGGGATATGTGTGAGGGGAGTGGGAGGGCTGTGGCGGAGGGGAAGGGAGGGCAATACCCACATCGCCCAGTGACCACATCTTTTTTTTTAATTATCCCGTCTTTCCTAACCCATGGATGGTACGGCGGCTGCTGTCGTACAGGAGTTTGACCGCAGCCCCCCCGGTCAGCAGCTGGCTCATGAGCTTGCCGTACCGCCGTACAACCACGAGCTGCAGGACATGGTACTGCACAAGGAATGGTGGGTACGACACGAAGAGATTGAGGTCCTAAAAGAGTCCAGGGTTGGAAAACACGGGACGGAGAGAAAGGAGGGGGGATACCCACATACATACACATCTACCCGCATACCCGCGTACGACAACAAAACCCAACATAGGACAGGAGAGGACACGGGGGGAACACGACCTCTATAAGGTCCCATCCGGAACCCTTCTCCTTGCCTGTTGGGGAGAGGGGGATGTAACCCATAACCCCTAGTCCTCCCCCCTTTTCCCGCTCCCCAACATCTTTCCCCCCGACAAAAACACGACACGGGGGTAAACACGTTCATACCCCCCTTTCTCCCCCCTGCCTGGCGCCCCCCCCAATACACACATACACGCCACGTGTCGTACAGCTATGCGCTGTCCCCGCTTCGCATGTGGATGGTGGTGGCGGCTCGGGAGCTATTGCTCTTCCTGAGGAACCGTCTGTTCTTCGTAGCTGGGGCGGTGCAGGTGCGGGTTTTAGGGGGGAAGGGTTTTAGGGTTTTTTGGGGGTGGGGGGAGGTTAGGGAAAGGGAGGGGAGGAGAGGGGAGAGGGCAATTGCAGGAAGAAGGGCAGGAAGCAATATTTTCAAAATAATTTTAACAAGTAATAAAATATGTTTCCAGGTAGCGCGCGAGACAGAGATTTCCTGTGTCTGTCTGTCTGTCTGTCTGTTGGTAAGAGGGGATCACCAGCACCAGCCACGTTTCTGCAGACGGGCGTAGGAAATTGTACCTAGGTCCCGTACCCATTCCCGTACCGTACGGAAATAAATACGAGGTCCTTAGTTCTGCAGATATCCGTCTTATAATTATTTAATGGTATCGTTTTCAGACCGAAAGCTCCGTTTTGGCCTTATCCGATTTAATTTTTTGTACGATTTAGGATATTTTAAAAAAGGTAAGGGAGCTCATATGCGTTACTAGTAGGCATGACATGGAGATATGTACGGCAGCTCCTACAGCTGCCGCCGCAGAAACGTGGCGACTATGTCCGCAGCCGTTTGTACCGCCCCTGCCGTACCCCCGCTACCCCCGGTCAATGCTCTGGGCGCCTGGATGGCAGCTCTGCTTTCTGTTGGTGGTGCTCTGGATGTGTGTCGGCGTATGTATGTATGTATGACTTAGATTACACTGTGGGCCGCGAGAGCCGGGGGCCGAAGCCGAAACACAGCGCAAGGGTCGGGAGCATGTATGTATGTATGTGTGGTTCCTTTCTTTAGAGCCTTAGCTGTTTCCCCCTCCCCCTCCGACTCTCTTAGACATCCTTATACCCCCTCTCTCGCATAGCTATGTCCCTATATGCCCTCCCGCCCTCCTCATGTATGTATATATGTCAGTCGCGTCAGGTAGCCATTCTCAATTCAGGTTTCTCCTTTTCCCCCGCCTTTCCTCGCCTTTCCCCTCTCCCTCCAAAACACGCATACACATACATACATATGGTACATACGTACTTACACACATACATACAGATTTTGTTCACGGCCTTCCTGGTGTCCACCACCTTCATTCGCCTCTCCAAGAGCACCTTCAACGACGCCAACCTGCACATGTCGGTCGCGTTCTTCAGCCTCATGACCATGTTGATGGTGCGTGGCGGGGACGGTGACGGTATGTATGTATGTATGTATGTATGTATGTATGCAGATAGATGCGTGTCACACTGTGTGTGTGTCATTATGCGTATGCGCGCATCTACGTCACTATGTGTGAGTGAGTGAGTGTGAGTGAGTGTGAGTGAGTGTGAGTGAGTGTGAGTGAGTGTGAGTGAGTGAGGGTGAGTGAGGGTGAGTGAGGGTGAGTGAGGGTGAGTGAGGGTGAGTGAGGGTGAGTGTGAGTGAGTGTGTATAGTAAGTCCTTCCTTCTCTGTTCCAACCCACTCCCGCCTTTTCGTTCCCACCCCCCG